AGCTTGTGCAAAGCTTTACCCAAAATTAGCACCACCCACTTTTAAATCAAAAGGTAAGAAACTTCTGTTTTACACCAGACACAGTAAAGGCATCACACAGCACTGTATGTGCACCACTGCTAATGCACTCCCTTGTTAGTCAGGGTGGTCTTTTACTCCAGACACATGTGACACAGGCAGCATGCCTGCCAGTGATGCGTCTAACACTAGAAACATACAAAATGCTAGATTTCTGTTATATTAAGCCCATGATCTAAACAGTACATGATATATATATATACTGTGATATATGTATATATATACATGATATATGTATGTATATACTGTTTAGATCATATATATATATGTCAATATAGTTTTCTATTTGCCACAAAGTGTAGGAGTGAAAATCTTATTGGATAAATAATTTTTATGTGATACTGATACTGTACATATGCGATCTGTGTGTGGCAGGGATTATGAACATAGAGCCATTCAGCACATGCACGATTCATGCCAGACAATTTCTGAAAAACTTTTACTTTTTCAAACTTCTTTTTTTCACATTTAAAAAATACAGTGCCACACACACACACACACACACACACACACACACACACACACACACACACACACACCATGCCAGTGAATTCAGTCCAGAGAGCATGATGAGCAAATCAATCCTTGATTGGCCAGAGAGCCCAGTCAATCAGCCATCAAGCAGACAGACAGATCAATAGCAAGTCAGCAAGACAGGAGAGAATCCATTCTATATAAGCACACACTGTATTTTTGCCTCGCACTGCTTCAGGACTTTGTGCCACCTGTTTGCTATTGAGTTTGTTAGCACATTTCTGTATTGATCACATTGGGTGCGGCTCCTCATCTTCATTTAAAGCAATTAGGAAACTGAAAACACTTGAGTTTTATCTTTTTTGGTTTGGACTTAAGTGAACTTGCGCTTGCATCAATCTACAGCATTTAATTTAAACTGCTGGGTTAATAAATACAGTATATCTTAGTAATACACTACATGGCCAAAGGTTTGTGGACACCTGACCATCACATCCATATGTGCGTTTTACCCAAATTTTTGCCATATGGGAAGCACACAATTGTATAGAATGGCTTTGTATGTTGTAGCGTTACAGTTTCCCTTCACTGGAACTAAGGGGCATAACATTTTCCAGCATGACAGTGCTCCTGTGCACAAAGCGAGCTCCATGAAGGCATAGTTTACCATGGTTCATGTGGAAGAACTCGAGTGACCTGCACAGAGCCCTGATCTCATCCCCACTGAACACCTTTGAGATGAATTGGAATGTCGACTGCACACCTCGTTCAACGTCAGCGCCTGACCTCACTAATGCTCTTGTGCCTGAATGAGCAAAAATCCCCACAGCCACACTCCAAAATCTAGTGGAAAGCCTTCCCAGAAGAGTGGAGGTTATTATATCAGTGAAGGTTGACTAAATCTGGAATGGGATGTTCAAAAAAACACATATGGGTGTGATGGCTAGGTGTCCACAAACATTTGCCCGTATAGTCTATATTGTTACAGTAATCTACAGTACTTATACATTTTATTGTTGTTTGTTTGCTGGAGGTTTTTTTTTTATGCTGCTGGAGTTTTAAGTTACAAACCTCATAGTCCATATTGTCCATATCGGCTACTGAGGTTTGCAGTGACAGATCAATTCCCTGTAAGTAGGAAGCGTAACAGTGACACCAGCTCTGTTTTATCGGGCCCAAGTTGTCTTCTCCACCGAGAGGCAAGTGGAGCTGAATACAGTTGGTAGCGGTGGCTCTCGCTAGTTACCGGAGTCAGCAGTGGAGGAATCAGGGTTTTATTGTCACGTAGGCTACATGATGTAAGGAGTGTGATTTAGGGAAAAAAAAAAGATTTCCAAACATTTTTTATTTAACATTACAAAGAATTTCTTTAAGTAATGGACCACATTTCTGAGAAAAATATTGTAAAGGCTGTCTAAGATTTGCAGAGGCAGAAGCTGTACCTGTACAATGTCCTTGGGTAGCCTGAAAGGCACTTATAAATAAAATGCTATTATTATTATTGTTATTATTATTTTATTATTATTAATATTATAGAAGAATTGCAGCAAGCTCTCCAAGAACCTACCGCAGTTTTCCTTCACCACTTCACCACACTATATGTAAGAGAATTTATGCAGGTTTAAATGTGGAAACAAATTTAATTTTTTATTGGTTGTTTTACTGTTTACTTTTCAATATAGTAATTGTTTGGACATGTAGAATCTTTTCATTACTTTTGAGGGCATCTTCGTTTTACACAGTTTCTTTAGCCTAACACTTTTACACAGTAATGGACATGTATATCAGCTTCAGTACACATGTCCATCTAGTCAAAATGACTTAAAGCACAAATTTTATATTCCCGCACAATATTAAATAAAGAAATAAAACATGATGGCATGGCGTGATGTGGCACGCCGTGAAGTGGAGTTACTGTTACCCTCACAAAGTTGATTGCACATTCCAAGGTGTTTTATTCCTTATGTCACAGCGATTTATCAACTATTCCAATTTCATTAATGACACATCGTATTTTATCCATTTATAGTTATGTTTATGTTGTGGAAGATCCATGAGACAAATTAGTTCCTGTTATCACTTATGTTATAGCAGCTACAAACAGTCTTTCCCTCACTAGCCTATTATTTTCTCTCTCTTGAAATTAATAAAGCAAAAAAAAAAAAAATTAAGCTTGTCATGTTTCCTGAGAAGTCACAATGAACACTCCTCAGTCCTGAAGACTTTCCTGTAGTGGAAAATGTACTGATTGTTACAAAGCGCTGACACTGGAGATGGCTTCTATAAATTTAAAACGAAACATTTAACCATACCAATCATTATCACCATGTTTTTCTTTGTTAAATAACACATTTTTAAAAAAAAAATTAGTTTATTATAAAGTTTAGCTGTGTGGACCATCCACCATACATATTCCTGTGAATGAGCTTTTACTAAAGAAACAGTACTAACGAATAAACGGTAACGAATATGAACCTGTGAATTACAGCCAGCACCACTCTCAGATGGAGCTGCTGTTATAGAAACCACCCAGACGTGAGAATTCTGTGGCATAATTTTTTTTGTAACATGACACCAAGATATTGCAGGATATGTGCTAGATAGCTGTTAGACCTCCAGTCAGCTCAGACAGCTCATGCAATACTACTGCCTGAAAATTGAGTTCTCCAAACCATACTAGTTTACAGTTATCCCTGAAAAACCCACCCACATGAGAGCTAGTGTCAGAATCAGAAAGAAAGTCTCCAGCAGCATAAACAAAAAAACTGTGATAGAGAGCCAAGAAATTGTGACCTTATTATTATAGTGTTCTATCTTTATCTATCTGTATTTATTGATAAAACTTATAATATGAAGGTGACTATATAGTGTAATTTGTTATTTTTCAAATTCAGTTTATTTTGTTTTCCATTCAATACTTATAAATGACTTTTAATGCATTAGGGCTTAGACAGTAGTTCACTACATGCTACAGGCTATGCAACGCTATTATGTCACTCCCTCAATAGTCAGTCTATATAGTGAATAGGAAGTCATTTGGGATTCACCCCAACTGTGCTGGAGGGCCTTAAGTAGAGAAGAAATGTAAATTATGTTTTGAAGTATGCAATACAACTGCTTAGTGTAGTGCTACTGCTAATGGGCTGCATTTATCAAGCTAGATATGAACGGCTTTAATTGTAAATCGTTTGTACGAGCATTTACACAAGACATTTGTGATTCATGGAAAAAAATGAATAACTAATGTAAACCTTGACTGATTATCTTCAGATCGTATAAATCATGATGAGTTGCTGCACTTTTATATACAGATTGTGCCATCAAGTTTAAAAAGCTTGTGTATTTTTAGTTGCACACAGTTTAATGAAACTTTATAAAAACTTTCATATTAATGGCATTACCTAAAGAAATATTCAATATGGAAAAATAAAGAACGCAAGCCAATATAAATCCAGACCAGTCATTCAATTAAGAATGCCGCTGTATAAAGGAGGACGGGTCGTATGCTCCCTAGTGTGCTGCGGACCACTTGCTTCCTGCAGACACATGCTCTTCTGCTTTTCTAACATGGTATCAGAGAGGGTGCGAGGGGTTCTGGCCAAGAATCAGCAAGACGCTTCGCCTTGAAAAAAAAAAAAATCGCAGTTTGAGAAAGTCTATTCCAACTGTATGAGCTTTGCCTTTTAAGGAGTTTTGTGGGCGTCACCAAAACAAAATCAGGTGTTCCGTGTATGTGCTTGGGAATTTACAGGTGTTTGGCATTCGTCAACGTACGACTACGAAGAAAACCACCGTTTCTGAGACATTTGTAAATCCGGCAGAATTTTTTAGTTCGGTTTTGCTTACACAAACATTTACACATGACTTTATTAAAGATTGAGGCCCAACTGTTTTCTGTCTGTGGCAGTATAAAATTATAGACTCATTAATATTTAAATGTACTTGAATGTTAAGTGTTTTAACTAATTCAAATGCCACTTTTTAAAAGTAATTTGAAAACCCTAACAGATGTACCCACAATGGGCCATATTCAGAGTTGTGTTAAGTGTGTGTAGTGAGAATTTAATTCTGAAATTTCACACATACTGTAGATATTCAGAGCTCAGATGTAGCTACAGACTTAATCACTATTCAGAAGTTGTTCAGGAGGTGTATCTCAGTTTATGCACAATTCTGACCTTGGACTTATGCCCAGTGTTCTTGTATGATATTGGCTCGAGACAAGGAGCAGTATTAAGTTCAGTGCCACTGTCTGACAGTTTAATGTTGTTCCTCTTTCGGCTGCTCCTGTTAGGGGTCGCCACAGTGCATCATTGGTCCGCGTATTTTGATTTGGCACAGTTTTTACGCCGGATGCCCTTCCTGGCACAACCCTCCCCAATTTTATCCGAACTTGGGACTGGCACTGAGAGCACACTGTTGCACGCAGCCCCAGTGACTGGGGTAGGTTTCCTGTCCGGGAATCGAACCCAGGACACAGTGGTGAGAGCGCTGTGGCCTAACCACTCGACACTAGACAGACACTCTGACAGTTTAATGTAACTATGATATATCACACTGAAATGTGCTGGGCTATAAATACACTCAAATAAATCCACGCCATTTGACACCAATGTTAATTACAGTATTAATGAATTAATAGTGAAAACGGAGGACATCAGAAGAGACAGCATCTTACTCAGAGATCTTGAGGATAAAGTTATGAATTAACTTAAAGTGAGCTGTAAGTGTAGCAGACAAATGCTTGGTCAGCTTATCCTTCAGTCAGACAAATGCTTGGTCAGCTTATCCTTCAAACCCAAATCCTTCAAATGTTTTCTGTTTACAGATTAGCACATCAAATTAACAAAAATATTTGAATTATTTTATTACTTCAGCAATTCCAAACAGTGAGTTAAAAGTGGAATAACATATCTTCTATCCCATGCACACATTATGACTTCATGACTTTGATTTAGTATCTTGTGGCTTCGTTAATTTATTTATTTTTTTTTTAAAAATCCTTCTTCAGTCCGCATTTTCTATCCCTCATTTTTTTCACGCTTAAAGACAAGTGCTTTTGTTTGATAGCTGTGGTCTAAACGCTATAGAAAAATCCTGTCTCAGATGCTTCTGCTCAAGTCTTGAAAAACCCTAAATGGCGCACCAGGAAAATTGACTTAAGCAGATGCGGTAGTGCTCCGAATATGTGTAACTTTCTCTACATACAGATTTTTATTAGAATGTTTAGAATTACAGTAGCATGGACTAAGCAGATCAGGCTATTGTACTATTTTAGCAGGTCCGTCTTCAGAGATACAGCCCTCTATTTAATTTCAGACTCGTAGGTATTGTTGCTATTTGTGACTCTGTGTGTGTGTGTGTGTGTGTGTGTGTGTGTGTGTGTGTGTGTGTGTGTGAATCAATGCTCAGCTTTACACAGTATGCTGACTGATTGATACGCTCCCTGGAGAGCTTGTCTTGCTATAATGTGTGATTGCTGGTGAATGTGTGCAGATGTGAACACTTTGTCGCCCAATCGACTCTCACATTTGATTTAATGTCATATGTCTCCGCTTGACTGAACTGTGGCCTGTTACCTCAGCGCCACATTCTCAGCTCAGTCTAACTATCTTGCTGACTGACTCCTGTATAAGTTTGTTTTTCCACTCATTGTTGTCTGGATATATGTAATTTCACATCCAGTAAATTAATTAAATACACTCAAATAAAACTATGCCATTTGAGGCCAATATTAAATACAGTATTAATGAATTAATAGTTAATAATAAATTAATCTATTTATTAATAATTAATTTCTCTATAAATCAATTAATTCATATTTCCATAATATTTATTTGCATTTACTTGATCAAGACATTTATTTCGCTTCTTTTTATGAATTTCTGTGTTAAAATCATGCTGTTCAAACTTCACTAAAATTCGTTACACCTATGGTGTTTCATTCAATTCCTGGACATACACTATATTACCAAAAGTATTCGGTAACCCAACCAAATGATCAGAATCAGGTTTCCTAATCACTTGGCCTGGCCACAGGTGTATAAAATCAAGCACTTAGGCATGCAGACTGTTTTTTACAAACATTTGTGAAAGAATGGGCCGCTCTCAGCAGCTCAGTGAATTCCAGCGTGGAACTGTCATAGGATGCCAC